AGTCACTGTTTAACTCTTACTCTTGTGATTCACTTAGGCGGTTTTCAAGAATCAGCTATCATCTTAGGTGATTCGCCTACTATTTGTTCTTCATTGTTTCTTGTTGCGTCTTGTTCCACTGGGATCGCATTGCAGTGGATCGTGTGTGACACTGGTTTCTCTAGCTGGAACAACCTACAATTTCCCCAAGAACAACAAGGTTAACAAACTAAGGGATCATAAGCTTACATATAAAGCGGTTACTCGTGTTTCAACTAATGGTATGTCCCCATTTTGGGATATCTTTTCAAGCTTTTTTTCTTGTCTTTGGTAATTAGCATGCAAGATGAAACATATAGTTTACACTAGTGTCTCAATTACAACATGGTCTTTTTATGGAGCAGGAGTAAATTCACTTTGAAATTTGGCTTTCAAGTAAATGAGATTTTTGCTTACGGATGCTTGCACAAGGTTGGGGACTGAACAGTCAGTGCGTACTTGCAAGTGGATAGCTCAGTGATCGAAGTGATCATTGCCCTGGTTTCTGCACATACAAACCTCACCTGCATAGAGCAATTTCAAGGATAACGAATCGTAATTCAATGAGCCCAAATGCAATGCAGAAAACTAGATTACATACCTCGACTTCTCGAGGTGACCCTGTAAGATCACAGGTGGTCCCATTGGTGTATACATGAGAGTGATACCTGCAACCACACCACCATAACAGATTAGCTGGGATATCTCTTTCTGCTGCTACAAAGGTTATGTAAAACCTCAGCTTATACCTCTGCGAAGCATCAGTCGAAATATCAGATACTGTTTGATTAAACGCTGCAGTTGCCTCTGGGTCAAACGTACCTAAGAAAAACTCTTGTACAATCTGTAGTGGCAGGATACACGGGCCATAGCATTAGATCGTGATTCAATGTCGGATAAAAGACAAGTAAGGAAAGAGAATCAGAAAAAGCAAACCTTGTTTTCATCCTCAACGTGTAGCTGCCGTACAAACTTCTGATGACAAAACTCATAAGACCACCAACCTTCTTGCTGCTCAAATCCAGGGAAGAATTAGTTTCAAGAATTTGTTAAATAGGGTCAAAAGAAACCATTTTAAAAAGCTTACCCTAAGAAGACATTTTTCACTAAGTGGTTGAAGCAATTCATCAGGAGTCTTTAGCTTCACCTGTTTCTGTGTTTCCATCGTCACAGTACTAATATTTTGCTGACTAGAAATCCATCCACTCGTTGCTTTTTCCTCTTTCGGTAAGTAACATAAAAATCTATTACCATCCTTATCCAGCATAACCATAGATTCCAGATTATCACCCTATAAACGACAATATTAGCGAATCAAAACGCCAAAATTTCAGAGGATCTCTATGTTACACCTATCTCTACTCAATATAACTCAGGCCAAAGTGCCAAAATAAGCTTCAAATAAATCTAACTTGTGATTAAAACGCCAAAACTTATCCACCATAACCATAGATTCCAGCTTCTCACCGTATAAACAATAATACTAGAGAAACGAAACATCAACCACAGAGGGAGGATCTCTATGTTACAACTATCTCTAGTCATTGTAACTTAAGATCAAAGTGGCAAAATAAGCTTCAATACTACTAAATTCTGATTAAAAGCGCCAACGCTTATCCACTGTAACCACAGATTCCAGATTACCACCCTATAAACAACAATATTAGAGAATCGAAACACCAAAACCATGGAGGATCTCTATGTTACAACTATCTATACTCATTGTAACTCAGGTCAAGGGGGTAAAAATAAGCTTCAAATCTATCTAAAGTCTGATTAAAACCCCCCACACTTATCCTCCATAACCATATTGTCACCTTGTTAATAACGATATTAGAGATCAAAACACCAAAATCACAGAGAATCTCAACTATTTATATAATCAAGTACAAAAATTAAGCTTGAGATCTATCTTAAAGCTGTGTTATTACCGGGTGAAAAGGTGAATCTTCAGGAAGAAACTCAATCTTGTACTTTGGTTCACGATTGTTTCTGCTGAATGTTCCAACTATACATAAAACATTGAATCAAATACCAAAACTGCAGAGGAAAAACTCGAAATTGATCGGAAAATTAGGAGAAGAGAGGAAATGATATGGACCTAGATGAGCTGGGAAGATCTGATCCGACCAGACATGGGAGCTTGAGGACAATGCAACTATGACCAGACACAGCAAGATCTCCGTGATTCTCATCTTCATACCGGCAAGAAAAAACTGAGATTGTGAAGCGAACACCGGGCGGTAACAGGCGACGGCGAGGTAGACGATGAGATCTTATTAGCTGCGGCGATGTGATTAATTTAGACGGCCACGCAGGTTATCCAATTAAAATTCGACACGTTATGTTATAACCCAACAAATCTAATTACACTGTCGGACAAAATTTCATCAAACTTATCCAATTTTAGGCCTGGGCAAAATACCCGGAACTGAATACCCGAACCGAAAAACCCGAACAATACCCGAACCGAACCCGAACCCGATTTTTAAAAATACCCGAATGGGTCCTAACCTCCTACCCGAAAAAAACCCGAACCGAACCCGAACCGAATCCAATACCCGAATGTACCCGAATGTACCCGAATACAAATATACACCTATAAATATTAGTTATATTTATATTTATAATACCCGAAATACCTAAAATTACAATCATAAATCCGAATATATTAGGTATTTTAGATATTTTTTGTTATATTTGGGTAAAAAGTAACCATTGTATTTTCGATAAATCGAGTATTTCGGTTAGATTTGGGTATATATGAGTTAAAAACCCGAACCCGACCCGAACCCGAAAATATTTCGGGTATTTTTGGTTATTTTCGGGTATTTTGCTTTTTTTATTAAAATACCCGAACCGACCCGAACCCGAACCGAACCCGAACCAAATTTTTAGAATACCCGAATGGGTCTTGACCCCCTACCCGAATAGACCCGATATCCGAAAAAAAAGAACCGAACCCGAACGGGTACCCGAATGCCCAGGCCTATCCAATTTGAAGAAAAACGTTAATGAAATTTCGACATGAGTTTTTTCATTTCGGGTATTGTAAACACTAGATTATGTATCCGCCGGATTTTAACATAAAATTTTTATCAATGTAAACTTTTGAGCGTGGAAGTCTCCTTGACCTATTTGTTGATCAAGGGTTAATTAATGTTTCTACACCCAGAGGTCTGGGGTTCGAGTCCCAGATACTGCGATTTATTAATATATTTGTAGATTATTGGAGGCAAGTGTGTATGAGATCTCCAGCGATGTACAATTATAGCCGTTCGCCAGGATTCTACGCAGAGAGGGAAGTGTTCATCAAGAGGAGGTGAAGGAGGTAAACATGAAGAAGGAGGTGAAAGAGGTGACGTCTGTCGTGGATCTAATAAGAGTCGGAAGGAATTGTCAGTTGTAGAATCGTCTATGTAACAGTTCTCATAATTTGCAATAAATAATAAATCTAGAGCAAAAAAAAAAAAAAAACTTTTGAGCATAAAAACAAGGGAAATTTACTAGAGTTAGAGTGACCCATAATTTGTGTTTAATTACTAGAATGGCATACCAAAAATATAGGTTATATGAGTAATATTTATGACTAAAATGCCCCTGTTTTGCTTTGTAGAGAAAAAACATATTACAGGAATGCCATTAATATTTAATTCCAGCGTGGCAAAAAATACAATTTATTTACGATACTGCCACTTTCGTTTTTGTTAAATCTGTGGCTCATGTTGCGACAGATTTATTTAGTACGACAGACTATTTGATCCACCACAAACTTTCTTCGACAGACTTTTTTTGTACCACAGACTTTGTTTGATTTAGTAATGACAGATTTATATTTTTCCGCAGATTTTTTTTAGCGACAGATTTGTTGTATCCACAGATTTGTTGTATCCACAGATTTTCTTAAATTTTTTAGATTTTGAATGGTTATAAAATAAATCTGCCACAGATTTGTTTTCCAACCGCAGACTTTTCTTTATTCTGGCAACAGATTTTAGGATTTTTTAAAAAAACTGTCGTTTATTCCCCACCGGACTTCGACTCCACTAAGTCGCGTTACACCACGTAGTAGGGATTGACTATGGATCAGGCTTTGTCGATCCAAAGATGTCAAAAAAAAAAAAAAACTGTCGTTTTATAACAGATTTTTTAACACAAAAAATTGATATATAATGATGACAGAGTTGTTTTATGTACTCGCAGATTTTCTTTATTTGTTGACAAATCTGGCGTCTTATAGCAGGTTTTTTTAAAAAAAATATAATTACTAAACAGTCGCATAGTGATAACAGATTTGTTTTTAGTTATGACAGTTTTGTTTTTTGGACCCTAAGCATAACAGATTTTCTCATGTCATGTTATGGCATATTTGTTTCTAACTAGAATAACCTTTTTAGTGTTGACAGACTTTTGGTTGGCAGATTTGTTTTTGAAATTTCAAAAAATCGCGTTACATGAGATTTAATATCTAGCCTCAAATTCGACAGAAATCCAAATCTTGCCGGTTTGCTTGTATGATTAAACCGGTTTGATTGCGTTTAGTTACGACAGACTTTTATTATCTCTGACAGATTTATACAAATTATTGCCATAATTGACGTTTAATGCATTAAATTCCTAATATTTAGAGAAAGAATATTCTTCTAGGGCTTTTGCTCCATAAACGGTTTTTGTTTTTGTCTTCTTCTTTTACGCTTACCCACTGTCTCACGATTTCATCCTTTATTTTTCTTCCTTTTCGGGATCAAATTTGCTTCAATTGTTTCTGTTCTCTTTTTGATCCCTCACGATTTCATCCCTCTCCTTCTATTTGAGTGTTGTTCCATATTTTTTTTGTTTTTCTTCCTTTTGATTGCTGTGAGATCGAAGTCCAACGAATTGGGCATGGATCAAGTGATTCTCGTGTGTAAAAAATGGATCGTTGAGAAAACGAAGTGGCTTTTTGTCGTTGATAATAGTAAAAGTTGTCGCGTACTCGAAGGTAACAGTCAAACCAGTTATGATGATTTCATTCTAATGGTGTATGAGGACTACGACTTGGATAACAGGGTAGTCGAAGTTGTTTTGAGTTACAAGATCTCAAATTCAAAGAAATTACCAGCAGATACACCACCCGTAATTATTGGTAACAATAGACAGTTCGACTTTGTGTTGAAGTGAAAGAGAAAGTTCATGTTGAATCAAAAGAGGAAGGCATAAGGGGTTTCGGTAACTGCAATTTGCCTTGCTAATATCCATTACATAATTCCATGCCTTGCTAATATCCATTACATGCTCCAACTCAGAAAACAAAGGCCCATCGGACGTTCCAACACCCATTTCATTCCAGAACTCATGGTAAGCAGCTTCACATGTGTCTGACTCGTCAATAAAATCACAATTGAGCCCTGTTACGTCCGCGAATTCATAAAGAGAAAATCTGATTGGCCTTTGATCAATCAAACACCAAATCTCGTGAGAGTTGTCGACTCGCAGCTGATTTGTGAGGAAGTAATGAACGGTCTGGGCAGCCCATGTGTATTCAGCATCAGTCAATTTTATAAACACTCCAAGTGTTGATTTCATCAAACCATCCCACACATCCGGACCTAATCCTTCTCTGATCTTCCCAATTTGAGAAAAATAGCAGCTGTGGTTCATGCTCCTATTTTGCAAAGGTGATTTTTCTTCTTCATACAGTCGCGGAGGGTACTTGAGGATTTGACTAGAAGACGCCATTCCTAATCACAGAAACAAAATACAAACATGATTGTTAAAGCTTTTACTTAAAGATCTGTCACTGAAAAATCTGTCACAAAATTCCTAAAAATCTGTCACTTAAGAAATCTGTCACAAAATTCCTAAAAATCTGTCACTTACGAAATGCAAACATTCAATAAATTTGGGATAACAACAGTCAAAAGCAAAAACCAAAAACAAAACAGAGGCGGGAAGAAAAGTTTGTAAAATTTTTGAATCCGAAAAATGTAAGAGAAATAGCAATTTGCATAAAACCAAAACTTGAAAAATCTGTGAGAACTTCAACAAAATCTGTGGTCATGTAAATCGAAAAGGCGCGAACGAATTTTACAAAAAACATTCCGACGAAATTAGGTTAAATCTTACTGGAAACCGGAAGAACAATGTAGCTACTGAGATGACGGTGGTCGATCTGCAAAAAAAAACTCAGGGGTTAATCATAATTGAAAGCAAAATTGAAAGCAAAGTGAAAGCAAAATCGAAAGCAAAATTGAATGGGAAAATATCTGGGTAAAGGTAATCATACACTGTTGAAAGCAAAGTGAAAGCAAAATCATACACTGTTGTTAAACAATTTATCAATATCAAAAATCGATTTCGAAGACTCCACAACACATCGAGAAATTACAAAAGCTTTAGACCCATTGTTAAAGAGTTTACCTTGTTCTGAAGCCGACTTCCAAAACAACTCAGCGATTTGTAGCCGGAGATCACCTAAACGCCGGAATCAAAAAAGCATCGGAGAAGATAAATACTCAATAAACAAAATCGACGGTTTGGGTTTCATTGGGGTTTAAATGTTAGAAACTTACCTATAACAATGCTGATGAACCAAGGGAAGCACCGATTCAGTCTCTAGAGATCTCGTAAACGCCACCACCGGTAATTCAAACCACCACCGGAAAGTTAATGACCCATGTATCCTCGAAATCAACACGATTTCGGCATGCAGACTACGATATCAAACAGAGGCGGCTGAGGATTAGAGATGATTCTAGGGTTTTTAGTGGAACCGACGGAGAAGAGAGTCTCAAAACTTTGTCGATTTGATTTCTTTTTCTCGACATTTTTTCTTTGTTTACATATTTGTTTTTTTTTTTTGTAATTAAATAGTGCTCAAAAGAGCCATTCTTGTGGAATGTTGTTTACATAAGTGATATGAAGCGGTTCCGTACGAATTTTTCGTGCCAGATTATCCGCTTTTGCATTTGCACAACGAGAAATTAAAGATAAAGAGAAGGTAGAGAACTCTTCCTTGTCGCTCTGAAATTCCTCTAGATACACTGAGAAGGCCGGCCATTCGGTTGGGGAAGACACCATCTTCACCAGATCAGAACAGTCTGTAAGGAATGCTACCTCTTGATTATCTGCACCAATCATACACTTCATCGCCCAAAGGAGGGCCTCGAATTCGGCATGTAGCGGAGATAGGCTTCTACGGAGGTTGGCAGCTCCCATTGTTGATGGCTCACCGTTTGATGGTGTACAAAACCACCCTATCCCGGAAAACTTGTCGCTGTCTTTCCAGGATCCATCCACAAAACAACGGTATCCTGTAAAATCCGAATCTAGGGACACCCCCCTCGTTTGAGGCCGATTTGGAAATTCCACTGAAGCCTGAGTTTCAGTATGAAGCTCCACTTGAACTGAGTGCCACAATTGTGCCTCTCTTTCCGCTAACCGTAAAACCTCTAACGGATCATTATCCACATTTTCAAACAATTTTTCATTCCGTGCTTTCCATATATACCAAATAATCCAAGGAAAAGCTATAGAATCAAACTCCGATGGTATTCTCCAAAATAAATGATCCAAGTTTGCAAAAATAGAATCTGTGGGAAAAGTCCCCATAACCGTAGGAATCTGAGAAAGTGCCCAAACCTGTCTTGCAGGATGGCACTGAAAGAGTGTGTGATTGACTGTTTCCTCCAGTGCACCACATCTGGCACAACCAGTGTCACAATCAATTCCTCTTTTTCGTAAGTTCTCTGTAACCGGTACACAACCCGTTAAGATTTGCCATAAAAAATGACGTATCCTAGGTGGACACTGTACTTTCCAAGTATGAGCCTTTAGCTTATTGAAATCTGGCCCAATGAAAGATGAGTTGGTTTCCAACTTATCCAACCGTGCGGTATGATACCCCGACTTAACTGAATATTTGCCGGATTTTGTAAAATGCCAACCCAAGGTGTCCTCCTTGGTTGGCGCACCCACCGGTAGGGCACTTATTAACTCGACATCTTCCTGGTCAAAGACCGCTTTGAGGAGATCAATGTCCCAAAAATTAGATCGACTATCTATAAGCATGTTAACTTTTAAAGATGGGTCATTAATAGATCCATTACTTTTTGCTGGTCTCGGGAATTGAGCTGGAATCCACGGATCCTCCCAAACTGAGATGGAATTCCCAGATCCGACTCTTTTAATAAGTCCTTTATTAACCAGAGATCTAGCTGAGCATATACTCCGCCACCCATACGATGGGGAATATGACTTTATATTTTCCAAAGGATTGGATTTCCTATAATACCGCCCTTTAAAAACCCTCGCAAAGAGAGAATCCGGAACCGTGATCAACCGCCACAACTGTTTTGCAAGTAAGGCCGAATTAAAATCATCGACGTTTCGAAATCCTATCCCTCCTTCCGATTTATTAATACATAATTTATCCCAAGCCATCCAATGCATACCTCTAGAGGCACCATTCGAGCTCCACCAGAAATTAGCAACCGCACTAGTGAGTTTAGAAGTGATTGTTTTCGGTAGTCTGAAGCACGACATAACATAAGTTGGTAATGCCGCAGCTACCGATTTAATCATCACTTCTTTCCCACCTTTTGATAAAAATTTTGCCGACCATCCGTTAATCCTTGTCTGTAACCTGTCTCTAACAAAAGAGAAAATTTTTGTTTTTGAACCACCGAGACTTTCTGGCAACCCAAGATATGAACCCATACCACCAATATTAGAGATACCTAAGGTAGATTTGATATCTTCCTTCACACCGTCATCTACCTTATGCCCAAACTGGATCGAAGATTTGGAATAATTTATTTGTTGTCCCGAGACCGCTTCATATTGCTTTAAGATCCCCAAGATTACCCCACACTGATCCTTGTTAGCCTTACAAAAAAATAGACTATCATCCGCAAAAAGCAGGTGAGAAATCGATGGGCTTGCAGTTGCCACCTTGATACCCGTAATTAATTTATCCCGTTCTGCTTTCCGTATGTTCGCAATTAATACTTCAGTACAAAGAATAAATAGATAAGGAGACAGCGGATCTCCTTGCCGTAAACCCCTCTCTGGTACTATTAGTCCTCGAGGTTGTCCATTAAGAAGAACCCTATATTGGACAGTAGTGATACACCACATTATCCAACTAATCCATTTTTCACAAAACCCCAGTTTGGTTAAAACTTTTTCAACGAAAATCCATTCCACTCTATCATAAGCCTTACTCATGTCAGTTTTAATTGCCATGAATTTTCCTTTACATGATGGGTTAGTTCGTAACCCATGGAACATCTCTTGTGCAATAAGAATGTTATCCGAAATTAACCGTCCTTCTACAAAAGCTGATTGTGTTTCCGAGATCAGTTTTGGTAGTACTGTCTTTAGTCTTTGGCAAAGAATCTTTGATATAATCTTGTAACCAACATTGCAGAGACTAATAGGTCGTAGTTCCGTCATCCGAGTCGGTCTTTCCGTTTTTGGAATAAGACAAATATTTGTCGTATTTAACCGTTTGTCAAAATTCCCATCCTCTAAAAAAGAATTAACCAAACATAAAAGATCTACTTTAATGGTAGCCCATGCTTTCTGAAAAAACAATGCCGTCATACCATCTGGCCCCGGTGCCTTCTCCGGGTGCATCATAAAAAGTGCTGCTCTCACTTCACCCTCTGTTGCCGGGGCTATTAAAAAATCATTATTCTGATCCGTGATCAGACTTTGTACTTCTTCCAATGCATCCTCAAAAACCTCAGGTTTTGTTGTAGTGAATAAAGTCTTAAAGTAGGAAACCGCTATATTTTGAACCTCTTTATCTTCCGTTAACCATGTCCCATTCTCATCATGTAAACCCGTGATTCGATTCCTCGCCCGTCTCTGCTTCGTTAAAGCGTGAAAATATTTTGAGTTATTGTCCCCTAATTGCATCAAAGAGCTTCTGCTTTTCTGGTGCCAGTACAATTCCTCGTCCCGATAGGCCTCTTTCAGCCGTAATGTTAAATCCGTAATTTCTTCCCGTGATCGCCTATCGTCTCTTTGCGCCGCATATAGTTCCGATTTTAAATCTTCAATCGTTTGCCGACCATAGGGAGTCAACTCTCGTCGCCATTGCGAAATAGCTCGCCGACAATTAGTCAACTTTTCCACAAATTTCCCGTCGCCTGGTTCAGAATCAAAATTCCAACCATCTGCAATTGTCTCCAGTAAACCTTCTTTCCCTATCCACCTTTTGTCAAACCTGAAAGTATGTTTCCCGCGTGGCATCTTATCCGCAATCGTAGCTAAGACCGGTGAATGGTCAGAAGCTACCATTTGTAAATATTCTACAAATGTGTTGTAGAACAATTCATGCCAATCTTCATTCGCTAGAGCCCGATCTAGACGACATCGTATTGGTTTTTTATCCCGCCACCCCCGCCAAGACAACCAATCGCCGATATAAGGAAATTCCAGAAGACCACAATTTTGAATCATTAGATTAAACGGAATAAAAGAAGACGCGTGTCTTAATTTACCCCCTCGCTTTTCATGATTTCCAGTTAATTCGTTAAAATCACCAATTAAAAACCACGGAGAATCCCGAGATAAACCGGTTCTAGTTAACCGCTCCCACACTTGTTCCCGCTTACTAGGAACCGGGTCTCCATAAACAAAAGTGAGATAAATTACTTTGCCCTTATAGTTTGCTTCAATATCGATCACACGATTACTTGCAAATAAAACCGAAACATGATAATCATTATTAAAAAAAAGGGCTAAACCGCCACTACAACCAATAGGATCCACCGTTTTTAAATTTTTATAACCAAAGTGACCTACAAATTTTTCCATAAAAGAAGAGGATTGTTTAGTTTCCGACAGAAATAAAAAATCCGGCCTATGTTGCTTCCACAAATCCCGAAGATACCCAATTGTTGCCTTATTTCCTAACCCTTGACAATTCCAACTTAAAACTTTCATTTATTATCAACCTTTCGATTAAGTGGGTTGCGTCCACCTGTTAATCTCTTCACCGTGCCATGGTGCGTCGGGTTATGCCCTTCATTCCCTTTTTTAGGAATAAAAGACGTGTTTATAAAATTCCATACCCAAAATACAATATGACTCCACCACTTAAACCGTATATTGTTAACAAATTTTTTTGTCCACGTCCAATACCAATATGCCAAAGTTAAATGAAACCGATAACATCCAGTCACAGACCCCCAAGTATAAGTTTTATACAAACAAGATAAAGAACCAAACCTTTCGAGGAACGAGATAACAAATTCCTTTGCTTCCATTTGGAACATGTCCTTTACTCCGTGAAGTAAATCATTACCGCTTGATTCTGACATCAACCTTTGATTACCTTGTTGTACTAGCACTGAAACATCCTTCAAGATTGGCCGGATCTTTTGATTTCCCAACCGGAGAACTAACCCACATAACACCATCACATGATCCCATCTCCAAATCAACCAGCAGATCAAAGAAAAATACAAGTCAATAAACCGAAGTCCCTTCCTTCTCAACCAACATCTTACTTTGATCTCTTCTTCCCATAACCCGAGCCGCTTGAATCTTTTACCCAGAATCTTCCCATCAACAACGATTATATTAAAATCTGACAAAACCAAAATCAGCCCAAAATCCACCAAATCAAATCGACTAACCGGGAGCAATTTAATAGAGATCCACCGAGACCGAGAGATTTCTATGATCTCTACAGCCCAAAAACTGAACCTTATGTATCTTATACCCAAAAACTCCAAAACAGTTCCGAGATTAATACCATCTAACAAATTCGAAAACAGCCCAAGATCCACCAAATCAATTCGAAAAACAGAGATCAACCGAATAGAAAACCATTTGGAACCAGAGATTAACCGTAAGAGAACAATCAAATTGAATCCGCTCACCAAGCTAAGAAACAACCTTAATAATCCATTCCAGAAACAAGAAACAACCGAGATCCACCTTCTCATGGTTGGGTGTTAAAACCCTAGAGTTCCATAGAGGTAGCTCTAGTTTACATATTTGTTTATTTTGTTATTTTTTTTTTCTTTTTTAAATGGCAAATGGCATGATTGTTATTAATATTAACTACAAAGGTTAATTAGTCTTTTTACTTAAAATGTGAGTTAGTCTAGTTCACTAAATGAAACGGGTGTCAATTGAGTTATATTAGCTAAGTTTAGAGTCATTCTAGGTAAATCTCAGTAAAAACAATCATTTGAATTTTAAAAGATTTTTTTTTCTCATGTGCATTATCTTTCCAAAATAGTAAAATGTATCCCACTCTTTTCACTACAATTTCTCTCCTTATCTTCTTTGATTTATTCGAAATCTACTCTCTATTAGCCTTATATTAGCTCACATATAATATATTCGAGTATGAATTAGTTCAGATTGTATGTATTTCTTCATTCATATATTTCGATACTCCATTCTTTTTTATAAGTTGCATAAACTTTTTATTAAAGTTAACATCAGAATATCTGGAGAAATTTTATTCATAGTTTTTTTACCATGTTTTAGTGTATTTAAAAATTTTTTATAGACAACAAAATCTTATATATAAACTCATTCCGATTTACAAACATCATATTCAAACGTAAAATATTACACTTTATATTGACCAACTGAAAAATATAAAATTCCCTTTTCACATATATAATTTGGCGTATATTATGATTCTATATAGTATTATTAATGTTGATTTTTCTCAAATGTGTAACGCACGAACTCATAAAAATTATTCTAATTTAAGAATACGTTTTTGTTTTATAAAAAAATTCTTCTTATTTCTAACAAAAAACTCCTTCATTTCTATTTTCCAACTAAAACTATTCTAATTTCCAAATAGCATTCTCAAATATTAATATTAATTTTCTAAACAGTGATTAATATTAGTTTTTCTATTTTAGGCATTCGTTTGTTTTTTTAAAAAACCACCGCTTTTTACTTTAGAAAACATTAATAAAATAGAATTTATTAATTGACCTATTTATATTATATTAGAGTTATAGATAATTATATGTACTCAATATTTCTTATTATTTAATCGGTATCATGAATTAATACATTAACATTAACAAATATATTCTGTTGACAAGAAAAAAAACAAATATATTCTCAAATTTAAATGTGTATTTCATAAATGAATTAATTTTTATTTTAAGTAAAAACCATTTTTTTTAATTCTTATTTTATTTATTCTATTAAATAATTGTAACTATTAAAAATGATTATTGTACCATTAAAATATACGATATTATTTTTTTCCTATCTCTAAACATTTATAAATATTTACTCATTATTTGTTGAGATATAATTATTAATTTTGTATTTATATCTCTATTTAAAAAATTTAATATTTTATGTTGTATATTTTTCCATTTTTTAGCATTTTATTGTTTTTTTTGGTAAATTATTGTTTTTCTTAACAAAAGATAAAAATATCATGTGTTTGAATTAATTTTAATTTTAATGTTTTTTGTAAGATAAAGTGTGTAAATTAATTTTAGTTTTAATGTTTTTATTTTATTAAATAAAATATGTAGAGCTCACAAAAATGTAAAATATGATGATATGGATGTTGATGTGGATGCTGATGTGAATACTCTAGATGGAGAGAAGACTCTCTAATTATATATATAGATTACACAGTAAGATGAAACGGGAGGAAAAGAAAAGTGATAAATAGAGTAAAAGAAAGTAAAAAATAAATACAGTAAAACCTCTATAAATTAATAATGTTGGGACCAAAAAATTTTATTAATTTAGAGAGGTATTAATTTATTAATAAAATAATAATTATTAATTTATAGAGAGATTTTACTAATTTTATAATTTCTTAAAAAAAATTCTATCTAAAAATAAAAATTTTCTTTATAAACAATATCTTTTAAACACTAATTACAAGTATAGAAACAATTATTAAGTTTACAAACTTTTTTCTAATAATAGAGTCATATTTCATCAAAAATTTTACATATAATATTTTATATATATATATATATATATATCATAGTAATTATATATAACATATATAAATTTATATATATTGATAAGTTAATACAATTATTAATTTATGATATAGATGGGACCATATGTTCATATGAGATTTTCAAAAAAATTATTATCTTATTAATTTATCGATTTATATCATATTTTACACTGGTCCCAATTCGGGACCGGAATAATTTATTAATTTAGAGAGGTTATTAATTTATAGAGTATTAATTTGTGGAGGTTTTACTGAGTTTTGAAGGATTGGTAGAGTAACTGAGAGCAATTGAGAGTAATTTTTTTTTTTTCACAAGAGAGAATTTTATTGAACAAGACAAACATTACATGGGCTATGCAATGCTCCACAACAGAAAAAGTACATAAGTGTATTAGGCCCGTCTAGAAGAAAATTTATCTTTTGTCTCTATCCAAACCAATACACGTATTGGATGAGAATCTAAAGTTTTCCTACTTCATCCTTCGCCGTCAAGCATCGAGTCCGTTGAAAGATTCAACGTCGATCAACAAATCAATCATGGAAACTTATGGGATTTCACCGGTAAAAACAATCGAAACTCCGATTAAAGAAACAACAGTTCAAGGCAATGTTAATATGCGACGGAAACCACTTTTGTTCTTCAACTCAAATCTCTGATTGGATTCCTACAATTCTAAACTCAAAAAGAAAAACACGTTGGATAATAAACACTACAGGAAAACAGGCCTTTTGCGACTACTTTTTGTGACTCTTTTGTTGGTCGCAAATATTTACGACGATATTGTTACCATATAGTGACTCTTTAACGACTACGTTAAAAGTAGACGCATATTTGTCGCCAATTTACGACGCCAACGATTAGTCTCTGCTTAGTCGCCAATTACCGACCATTTTGCTACGATTTTAAGACCGGTCCAAAAAAGGTCCTAGTTTGCGACTAATTTGGGACGGAAAGAACGGGGTTACAAAACATCGTCGCTAAAGGGTCACAATATAGGACTTATTTGTTACTTTTTTGTGTCGTCACAAATCCGTCGCAAAGATCTAGTGACTATTTAGCGACTAACACCTGAGACTGGGACTCTTTTCTGACCTATTAGCGACTCCCGATATTTAGATAAACATTTACCATGTAAGATTTTGAATTCTCGTAATGTTAGATGTGTTTAGTATGATCTTAACAATTATAGACAGTGAATACATCGTATGCCATACAAAACTTCATGTTTTCTAATGTGATCTCAAATATCTAAAACATTACATAATCATATAAGTAATGTTTACTAATACTTTTGAAATGTCCTAAATTCATTGAATTTCATGTTTTCTCTAATATAAATGATTGATCTTGTTGTGTATTGTAATATTATTGGTTCTAACACTATAAATTGATTTTCTTTGGTTCTAAAACTTTTAAATTCATAAGAATAGGTTTGTGATCCTTAAGAAAATCGTCACAAAACGGTAACTAATTTGCGACGGAAACTTATGAGAGTTACAAATAAGTCTTAAATTACCCACATATATGCTACTTATTTGCGACTAACACCTGAATTTGAGACGATTTTGTAACCGTGTAGCGATGCTCGCGATTTTATTTTGAGATTTACCAATAGAGATTTCTCAATATGTTAAGTTTCAAGGTTTCTACATTAATTTGAACTATTGTAGGTATTGAATCATTCTAATAGCTTAAGTTTTATATGATTTATAGAAACTTTCATAACATTACATCATAAACTTAAAACAAACTCATTCGACACTTAGTTATTGTCGACACTTAGTTATTATCGACACAACTCTTAAACAAACTTCTAATCATAAAATTATATCATAAACCAAAATTTAAATATTAATCAAAACTAAAATCCAATACTTAGAAAAATTAAAACTTTTCAAATTTTCAAAAAACTCAAAATTCTCTAAAGCTATTAAACCAAAATATAACTATTTTGTAAATATGTTTAAATTAATCAAAAGTTAAGCAAATTAATGAATTTACAAATATGTCTAAAATATGTCTAAAATATTTTGTCTACCAAAAACACTACAAATTGCAAAATTAATAAAGCAAAAGATATTGAGTTCCTATTGGTTACTTCAGAGAGACATGGATTGGTCTATTAGCTTATCTTGAACCGTTGATTAGATAAAATCCAACGAACCCAATTGTTTTCCTTTTTTCTTTTTCATCTACCTATAACCCAATTTTTTTCTTCTACGATTCTTCCCCTTCCCCTCTTTTGCCCTTTGTCACCTCTTCTCCTCATCAATCTCTAGACCAGTTATTGATGATCCAACACCATCTATTCTGATACCAACCAGTTAACCCACCACCCGACAACGGAGAGGAGAGGCTTATCGGTAGAAGAAATGGTGTGGTAGTCATCATCAAATCGAGAAGAAGAAGGGAGAAGGGTCGTTGAAGACGGAGATTTGACCACCACCACGAAGCAAACAGAACCAGATCTCGATCTGTTGCCCAACGAAACCCTCGATCCCGCCTGAAACCGAACTCCCCTCCTAGCCACCACAAAAGACAGAAAAAGAAATCCGGCGACAGAAGAAGAGTACTAAAGAGACAGTGGCGGAGCAAAAGGCTTGTGCTGCGAGTTGAGTGTAGCCGGAAACGGAGGCTCGTCGGCGAGCGAACGGAATCTATGGCGGCGGCTGAGATGAATTAGGATTTTTTTTTTTGTTGATTTTAGCGTCCGGTTCAACCGGCATTTTGTAACCAATTCAATTCTGTAGCTCTTAACCAATTACCGGTTTGGGTTGGTTATTAATATCAATATATATTATTTTGTTTAAAAAATTCTGTCACGAAATATATATATATACATAAATAAAATTATTTTAATTTTCATTTTTTATTTGAAAATTTTAATTTTAATTTTAATTTTTTTTATCTATTTTTTAGAAATCTCTAATATGTCACAATTTAGTCTGTAATATATGACTATAATTACCTGTCACAATTTAGTCTTTAAAATACGACTAAATGATACAGTCTTAAAGGCGTCGCTTATTTGCGACGACAGTGCGACCATTGTAATTAGCGACCGTTTTTTAGCGACCAATTTGTGCAGTCGCAAAGAAGTCGCAAAACAGCAATTAGCGACCGTTTAAAGACTCTATTGGGGGTCGCAAAAGGCATGTTTTCTTGTAGTGAAACAACAGAAAGCGAAAAACGCTTTAATCATTATCACCAACACATCTCAAATAAATGAGATTTATTGAAAACAAAACTAATTTATGAAAAAAAAACAAAACGTAGCAAAGGAGCGCCGATGGCAAAGCTGACCACCATCGCTGTGAAAGCCGAATGATGTCGGACAAGAGCTGGCCAACACCGAAAAGAAATGGTAGTTGCCAGATGATAATCCTTAATGGGAGACGGAAGCCGGAAAGAATTCCGGACGGCAAAGTAGTTTTCAGCTTTCTCTCTTTTTGACAAAATTTAGAGAGAGAAAAGAGAAAGAAAGCTCTATAGCTTTTCTCCCAGGCACAAAGACCAAGAAGACCCACAGCTTGACGGAATGAGCTCCTTTCACCGGCGTTCCTCCTCCGGCAGCCTCTTCTTGTGATTGGAGTTTGCTTCTAAGATTAGATCTCTCAGGTGGGCCTCGTTTTCCGGTGACGTGGCAGTTTTCAGGCGAGTTTACTACCTGAGATGGCTCTCTTTTCTCTCCCGATGTCAAGTCTCTCTCACTGTTTCCCGATTTGTTCGGTCCCCTACCATGGTCTGAGACCTCCTCCCGCACCACCACCGGAGCCTCCGTCTTCACCAACTCCGCCAGAGCCACCGGATCCACCGGATCCCCAGATCTGGCCCTCATCCGAAGAAGCTCTTGCTCAGCTCCTCCTCCTTCAACACCTCTCCGATCCTCAACGATTTCCCAGTGTTTCCAATCCCCCATCGCCGCCGCCATCGAGACCTGCTCCTCCTTGCCAAAAGGTTGTTTCGCTGTCTTTTGCCGCTGTTGCTCCTCACCGCTCAAGCCGCCGCCGACACACTCCTCATCCCACGCTCCTCAAAGGTGAACCTAGGGTTTCACTGTTTGGGCCAAATGTGGGTGGTTTTGTTATTGGGCCATGGTTACTTATTGGGCCAAAAGAGGAGGGTCTTTTTATTGGGTCTTACAATCCTAACATTCAGCCCACTCTTGTTCCTCTTTCGAGCCCTTTCTCACAATCCCTTGACACGCTTCGCCTAAAGCCATCTGAGTTCGTCAAGCCACGCCTCGTCGTCAGCAGATTTGCTTGCTCGCTCTCCTTCTCACACACCATCCCCCCTATCATATTCCCCCAGGTACGCTCCTTTTCTCCGCTCTCTGATTCTTCTAATTTGAGAAGTTATTGGATGGTTGTGGAGAGTGTAGCTTTGGCTTTGTGGAATTTGATTACTTTGGATTCTTTTGGATCCAAACTTGTGCTCTCTCGTGGCACCATTATCGCCTTAGTGCGAACCTTTACTGCAGTATGCAGATTCTACTTCAATTTGGCTATGTTAGAAGCCTCCTTGTGGCAGATTGGAAAGAGATCTTCGCTCTCTTTCTCCGTTCCAGTTATTCTGGTTCATCGGGATTTTTATAGTCCTCATCTCTCCTTTATGGAGCTTATTATCCTCCCAAATACTTCACTTGTGTTGAGTGGTATTGTTATAGGGAGCATTGTTGTCAAGACTGTTTTGCTTGGAGCAGAAGCGCGGATTATTATTCATGATGGTTCCCGTTCAACATTTGTTGGCTGTTTGACTTTGGAGGCTTTGTTTCCTCCTCCTTGTGGTTTCGGCAAAGACTACTGTTTTGAAGATGTTTGCTTTATCGGTGGCCCTTGTTTAGATTCTGCGTTGGTAGAACTCTTGAGTTCACCCTTATCCCTAAGTCTCTGTTTGAGATTTGTTGTTGTTCTTAGTTTATCTTCTTACTCGATCACTTTGTTGGTCGTGGTATTAGATGTTTGGGCTCCTTGTAGCCTCGTTGTATTCTCCGTCTTTGGAGGTTAACCTTATCTTTAATATAAAATGCTAAGTTTGTCCAAAAAAAAAAAGCTCTGTTCAATTGAGAGTAATTAAAAGGATTGATAAAAATATAATATTTTATTAATTATAAACTATATTAAATATATTTTTATTATATAAAGTATGGTTTTCAAAGTTAGTAACTCACGTGATTATGACACGTGTTAAATCTTTCGATATAAGATTTTGACATGTGTTAAATCAGTTTTTGATTTTTAATAATTAAAAAAGGAAAAAAAGATAATTATAAAAAAATGGTAAATTTACAAAGTTTTAAAATGTAAAAAGATAAATGTAAAGAAATTATACCTAGATTTCGATAAGAGATGTTGTCATATGGTAAACAAAAATTTTGTTTTTAACAACTTAAAAACATAAGAAGAAAAATATACGTATATAAAGAAATAACTAGATCGTAACCCGTGCTATAGCACGGATGTGAAATTTCTTTTATAAAATTAAAATATAAATTTTGTATTAAAAAGCAAATAATAGAATAAAGTCAAAATTATAAAATTTATGTCATAGCATGATTAATTTATTTGTAAATAGTATTAAATGTTGTATTATATTTACTTAGTTAGGAAAAATATTTTCATAATATAAGAGGAGATAATATTGTAGTGTATATATAAATGTTGAGAGTCTAAATAAAATTGTATGGTTTGTTTGTATATTTAAATAATTTACTTAGAAAATTTAATAATTAACTTATGCAACATTTGTTTTTTTTTTATTGTTGTATTATTAGTTTGTGAGAGTTTATTTTTGGGGCAAATCTTGGTTCAATTTTAAATATAGGTCCAATCTTTAATTAAGTTGCTTTGGTTTGATTTTTAATAATAGCATAAATAATTTAAAGGAAACAGAAAATAATGTCTAAAAAAAAACAATATGTCGACGATGTCTTAAAAAAAACCATAATCAAGAATCTGCTTCTGCTTCAATTTCGATTGCTGACAATGGAGGAGAAATCAGAATTATTGTAATAAACATCACCCGACGATTTCTCTGTCAATTCTTCTTACTTCAGCTGAAAGAATGATAAATCATGCAATTTCATTAGTCTCAAACAATTTCGGAATTGAAGAAGGCATTCAATTAGTTCATCGATTGTGTTCCGGAGCAGTGGAATTGGAAATTCGATTTAAGGTACGCCAAATTCTCAAATTTAATCGGATATCTTATACAAATCGATGAATTTAGTTCTTCAATTGATTAGTGATTGAATCGTTATGTTGTAAGAAATTCAACAAATTATACAGACAATTTTAAAATCGTCGAATGAAATAATGAATGGCTCTGCAAAATCTTTGATTGATCTAATCTTATGACTGTATATTTGCATTGTTTCAGATATAGATTATAAACTATATGATTTGCAATCTTAAACTTTTATCAGATTCCGAAACTAATATCAAATTCGGATCAAACTTTATAAAGTACATCTCTAATCTGAATATAAAATGATCTGCAGGTTTTTGGTACAGACATGTATATGGAGTAAGAGTAAATCAATATAATGAAAACAAGCTAACCAAGAATTATCAGACGGCATGCAATTACCTCTGTTGAAACATGACTATAAAGGTTAGTACCTAATACATAACTCATTAAGCTTTTCAAAACATAACTCATTAAGCTTTTCAAAACATGTTGATTTGATGCATTTGATTAATAATGAAATAAATGTTCAATGAATTTAAAAATTAAGCAAATTTATAGAAAAGTTTATATAACATAAGAGTTTCTATCGAACTCTAAAGAATTAAACAAATTTGCAATGAGTTTGTTTACAACTCTTATTCATGAAACTATTAATGACTTTTCTTCTGTATTATCGTTTAAGCACTGCTATGATGTTCAAAACCTGCATATGATAGAAATAATAAAATTTAATTCCTAAATGCATAATTAGTTAGTTGTAAACTGCACAAAATCATTAGAATATCTAAAATACAAAAAGAAGTTATAATTAGTGGTGAAAGTTACCTGAATGAAAAGCTATCAAATTTCTCTTTTCCAGTACTGGTCTACTATAGTATAGGCAGTGGCGGACCCAGAAATTTTTTTTACCGGGGTCAAAATTTTTTTTTCAATTATATCATATAATTTCTTGTTTTATATTATTACACAAACACTTAACAAATGTGATTTTTTTCATAAAAACATTTCTACTTTGTCATGGTTAATTAAAAAGTTGTACAAGTTCCAATAAATGCTTTGATTTTTTTATAAATAAGAAAAAAAAATCAGTAAATACAAAACAGAAAACATGTATTGAAGATGTAAAAAACAAAAAAAAATTACATAAAAGTGTTAGAGTATAGAATCGAACTTGAGTTTAGGTGGGTCAATTATGATGGATTAACCAACTTTGCTACAAAGATTTTTATTATTCTACTGCATTAGTATATATTTGAATATTTAAGGTGGGTCAGTTGACTTCCATTTTCCCTTAGTAGGTCCGCCGTTGAGTATAGGTCGAGTTTAGAGTATTGTCTTTAAGTTAATAAATGAAATTTAATACGTACTGTAGTAGCAAATTCAATTAGATTTTGTAATAAATGAAATTCAATCCGTACTGTAGTACCAAATTCAATTAGAGATTTGTTTGAGCTAATTACGGAATTTACCAATTATTCACATAATCAAATATGTTATGAACATATATTTGGTATATAATAATACCAAATTCAATTCGTGTGTGGAGTCTATATTTTCATTTTACAATCTCTATGAAAATATTGCGGTACAATCTATTATTTATTATTTTCAAAATTGCTTGCAGAATCAAATTTTTAACTCATCTTTTTTTTTTTTTTTTTTTTTTTGTCATCTGTAATTAAATAGTGCTCAAAAGAGCCATTCTTGTGGAATGTTGTTTACATAAGTGATATGAAGCGGTTCCGTACGAATTTTTCGTGCCAGATTATCCGCTTTTGCATTTGCACAACGAGAAATTAAAGATAAAGAGAAGGTAGAGAACTCTTCCTTGTCGCTCTGAAATTCCTCCAGATACACTGAGAAGGCCGGCCATTCGGTTGGGGAAGACACCATCTTCACCAGGTCAGAACAGTCTGTAAGGAATGCTACCTCTTGATTATCTGCACCAATCATACACTTCATCGCCCAAAGGAGGGCCTCGAATTCGGCATGTAGCGGAGATAGGCTTCTACGGAGGTTGGCAGCTCCCATTGTTGATGGCTCACCGTTTGATGGTGTACAAAACCACCCTATCCCGGAAAACTTGTCGCTGTCTTTCCAGGATCCATCCACAAAACAACGGTATCCTGTAAAATCCGAATCTAGGGACACCCCCCTCGTTTGAGGCCGATTTGGAAATTCCACTGAAGCCTGAGTTTCAGTATGAAGCTCCACTTGAGCTGAGTGCCACAATTGTGCCTCTCTTTCCGCTAACCGTAAAACCTCTAACGGATCGTTATCCACATTTTCAAACAATTTTTCATTCCGTGCTTTCCAAATATACCAAATAATCCAAGGAAAAGCTATAGAATCAAACTCCGATGGTATTCTCCAAAATAAATGATCCAAGTTTGCAAAAATAGAATCTGTGGGAAAAGTCCCCATAACCGTAGGAATCTGAGAAAGTGCCCAAACCTGTCTTGCAGGATGGCACTGAAAGAGTGTGTGATTGACTGTTTCCTCCAGTGCACCACATCTGGCACAACCAGTGTCACAATCAATTCCTCTTTTTCGTAAGTTCTCTGTAACCGGTACACAACCCGTTAAGATTTGCCATAAAAAATGACGTATCCTAGGTGGACACTGCACTTTCCAAGTATGAGCCTTTAGCTTATTGAAATCTGGCCCAATGAAAGATGAGTTGGTTTCCAACTTATCCAACCGTGCGGTATGATACCCCGACTTAACTGAATATTTGCCGGATTTTGTAAAATGCCAACCCAAGGTGTCCTCCTTGGTTGGCGCACCCACCGGTAGGGCACTTATTAACTCGACATCTTCCTGGTCAAAGACCGCTTTAAGGAGATCAATGTCCCAAAAATTAGATCGACTATCTATAAGCATGTTAACTTTTAAAGATGGGTCATTAATAGATCCATTACTTTTTGCTGGTCTCGGGAATTGAGCTGGAATCCACGGATCCTCCCAAACTGAGATGGAATTCCCAGATCCGACTCTTTTAATAAGTCCTTTACTAACCAGAGATCTAGCTGAGCATATACTCCGCCACCCATACGATGGGGAATATGACTTTATATTTTCCAAAGGATTGGATTTCCTATAATACCGCCCTTTAAAAACCCTCGCAAAGAGAGAATCCGGAACCGTGATCAACCGCCACAACTGTTTTGCAAGTAAGGCCGAATTAAAATCATCGACGTTTCGAAATCCTATCCCTCCTTCCGATTTATTAATACATAATTTATCCCAAGCCATCCAATGCATACCTCTGGAGGCACCATTCGAGCTCCACCAGAAATTAGCAACCGCACTAGTGAGTTTAGAAGTGATTGTTTTCGGTAGTCTGAAGCACGACATAACATAAGTTGGTAATGCCGCAGCTACCGATTTAATCATCACTTCTTTCCCACCTTTTGATAAAAATTTTGCCGACCATCCGTTAATCCTTGTCTGTAACCTGTCTCTAACAAAAGAGAAAATTTTTGTTTTTGAACCACCGAGACTTTCTGGCAACCCAAGATATGAACCCATACCACCAATATTAGAGATACCTAAGGTAGATTTGATATCTTCCTTCACACCGTCATCTACCTTATGCCCAAACTGGATCGAAGATTTGGAATAATTTATTTGTTGTCCCGAGACCGCTTCATATTGCTTTAAGATCCCCAAGATTACCCCACACTGATCCTTGTTAGCCTTACAAAAAAATAGACTATCATCCGCAAAAAGCAGGTGAGAAATCGATGGGCTTGCAGTTGCCACCTTGATACCCGTAATTAATTTATCCCGTTCTGCTTTCCGTATGTTCGCAATTAATACTTCAGTACAAAGAATAAATAGATAAGGAGACAGCGGATCTCCTTGCCGTAAACCCCTCTCTGGTACTATTAGTCCTCGAGGTTGTCCATTAAGAAGAACCCTATATTGGACAGTAGTGATACACCACATTATCCAACTAATCCATTTTCCACAAAACCCCAGTTTGGTTAAAACTTTTTCAACGAAAATCCATTCCACTCTATCATAAGCCTTACTCATGTCAGTTTTAATTGCCATGAATTTTCCTTTACATGATGGGTTAGTTCGTAACCCATGGAACATCTCTTGTGCAATAAGAATGTTATCCGAAATTAACCGTCCTTCTACAAAAGCTGATTGTGTTTCCGAGATCAGTTTTGGTAGTACTGTCTTTAGTCTTTGGCAAAGAATCTTTGATATAATCTTGTAACCAACATTGCAGAGACTAATAGGTCGTAGTTCCGTCATCCGAGTCGGTCTTTCCGTTTTTGGAATAAGACAAATATTTGTCGTATTTAACCGTTTGTCAAAATTCCCATCCTCTAAAAAAGAATTAACCAAACATAAAAGATCTACTTTAATGGTAGCCCATGCTTTCTGAAAAAACAATGCCGTCATACCATCTGGCCCCGGTGCCTTCTCCGGGTGCATCATAAAAAGTGCTGCTCTCACTTCACCCTCTGTTGCCGGGGCTATTAAAAAATCATTATTCTGATCCGTGATCAGACTTTGTACTTCTTCCAATGCATCCTCAAAAACCTCAGGTTTTGTTGTAGTGAATAAAGTCTTAAAGTAGGAAACCGCTATATTTTGAACCTCTTTATCTTCCGTTAACCATGTCCCATTCTCATCATGTAAACCCGTGATTCGATTCCTCGCCCGTCTCTGCTTCGTTAAAGCGTGAAAATATTTTGAGTTATTGTCCCCTAATTGCATCAAAGAGCTTCTGCTTTTCTGGTGCCAGTACAATTCCTCGTCCCGATAGGCCTCTTTCAGCCGTAATGTTAAATCCGTAATTTCTTCCCGTGATCGCCTATCGTCTCTTTGCGCTGCATATAGTTCCGATTTTAAATCTTCAATCGTTTGCCGACCATAGGGAGTCAACTCTCGTCGCCATTGCGAAATAGCTCGCCGACAATTAGTCAACTTTTCCACAAATTTCCCGTCGCCTGGTTCAGAATCAAAATTCCAACCATCTGCAATTGTCTCCAGTAAACCTTCTTTCCCTATCCACCTTTTGTCAAACCTGAAACTATGTTTCCCGCGTGGCATCTTATCCGCAATCGTAGCTAAGACCGGTGAATGGTCAGAAGCTACCATTTGTAAATATTCTACAAATGTGTTGCAGAATAATTCATGCCAATCTTCATTCGCTAGAGCCCGATCTAGACGACATCGTATTGGTTTTTTATCCCGCCACCCCCGCCAAGACAACCAATCGCCGATATAAGGAAATTCCAGAAGACCACAATTTTGAATCATTAGATTAAACGGGATAAAAGAAGACACGTGTCTTAATTTACCCCCTCGCTTTTCATGATTTCCAGTTAATTCGTTAAAATCACCAATTAAAAACCACGGAGAATCCCGAGATAAACCGGTTCTAGTTAACCGCTCCCACACTTGTTCCCGCTTACTAGGAACCGGGTCTCCATAAACAAAAGTGAGATAAATTACTTTGCCCTTAAAGTTTGCTTCAATATCGATCACACGATTACTTGCAAATAAAACCGAAACATGATAATCATTATTAAAAAAAAGGGCTAAACCGCCACTACAACCAATAGGATCCACCGTTTTTAAATTTTTATAACCAAAGTGACCTACAAATTTTTCCATAAAAGAAGAAGATTGTTTAGTTTCCGACAGAAATAAAAAATCCGGCCTATGTTGCTTCCACAAATCCCGAAGATACCCAATTGTTGCCTTATTTCCTAACCCTTGACAATTCCAACTTAAAACTTTCATTTATTATCAACCTTTCGATTAAGTGGGTTGCGTCCACCTGTTAATCTCTTCACCGTGCCATGGTGCGTCGGGTTATGCCCTTCATTCCCTTGATTATTTCTTAGAGAAACCAAATTACAATTGACCATTGATATTCTTACCCTTAAAGTATCCACATCCAACCATGAAAAACCCGAAATCAAACTATTGTAAAAACGTTTGTTACAACCAATGAAACTCCACTCCATACACTCAAAATCCAAAATCAACCTACCCACATCATAACTTTTAGAAATATTCCGACCACCCACAATAGCCCATGGAAGAGTACTCAACGCCCTCCTTCTCCTATCACCGGAAAACCATCTGTTAAAAACTCCTTCACCTGACCTTCTCTCCTCAATCGTTTTCAACCGAAAACCTCTTTGATCCGTAGTCCAAGACCAACCTGCAACTGAAACAATCTCAAATTCCAATAACAACACCTCCCAATCCACAATATATATTCCACCAAAGCTCAAACCCAAAAACTCAAACCCCAAATACAACCGGAAAAAAAACCATAATCGAAGCAAATTCCGACCACCATCAATAACCATCATGTCCAAACGATACATTCCTTTTATTAATATTTCAATAACACAGATAATATAGCTTACATATAGGATCTGAGAATTGAAACCAACATAAAAGGCTAAAATAAAGACCGAGAGAGAATTATTAACCATGTTGCTCATGATGTTTCCATGGGATCCTTGACTAACCATGGAGCTTTGAGGCATCACTTCCACCAAAACAATAAGAAACCAGAATAATATAAACCCAAGAAAAAGATACAACCAATAAAACCCAAGAATTATGAAGTCCAAGGCTAAAAATAAATCGTTGATGCTTTGAATTGCTGAAAATGAGATGAGGTGAGCAATACCACCAGGCTGTGACACTGATTTATATACACCCATCTTCAAATCTATATCTCCTTCAAAGTAAATCATGGAACCGCAAAAATCAATCACTATTATGACCATTAAACCCCACCGTGAAATCTTAGCTCTTCTAGCCTTTATCAGATAGTAAAGAAACCTTGATAAGGCTTCTAGAATCTCTCTCCGCTCGCTTACTCTTTGTACTTCCTCTGAATTTCCCTCATCAATTGACCAAAACTCACCCAATGAAATTACAACCGGAAATAATTTCTCCAGCCGTAAACCTTTGCCCTTTTGCACCACGATCGCTACCGATATAAACCTTTCCAGATATGAAAGATTGAGCTCATTTAAAACCAAGTGACTCACCTGAGATCTCCGAGAGATATCAATCTCCCAAATAAGATGAAAAAACATCTCTGGTCTTAACACCCGACTCTCCACTCCTGTCCATAGAAACTGATATCGTAGAATTCTTCTACTCCTTTGAGCTGTACCCATTGAAATCAGATAAAATATGTATAACTCTACCACCGTGAGCTCTTCCCCAATCACACCCATTTGATACCCTCTATAGACTCCGACAAAACCCTGACTGTTGCTTCTCTCGTCGACCCCTCTCCGATCCCAAGCTTCTTCACTTCTATTTTCAAACACCATGACCTCACTCCTTAGACATTCACCTCCGTATATGGAGACCCACCTCTTATTTGCCCTGAAATATAGTTCATCCCAAAGAAACCAACAAAACTTGCCATCAAAACCCACCATCAAATCCCAACGAAACCACCAAAACCTGCCATCAAATCCCATCTCTAATTCTCCGACCCCGATTCTGACTTGAATCACCCAGATCCGACCAAAACCTCGTTCCCCAGAAAGACCAAAACAAACCCAATTCCACCGACTGATTTCCCCATTTCCAATCGAAACCCAAGCAAAACTTTTGCCAATCGAAACCGGATCAAACCCACAAACCCTGAGAATTAATATCCCATTTATACACCAACAAGGACCTTCAATTTCCACCAGAGACACCAACAAATCTCCCGTTAATCCACCAACAAAACTCCCGTTAAACCACCACCAAGGACCTTCGATTTCCACTAGAGACACCAGATCCGCCGTTCCTTGAAACAGCAAACGCATGGTCGGGTCACAACTCTAACGCCGTCGCCTTCTCCATCCCTCTCCCTTTTAATTTTAATACCTACTTTATATAATGATATTTTAACTCATCTATATATATAGAAGTGTCAAACCTTATTTAACTCATCTATATATACATTTTTGCAACACTTTATGAAATAAATCCTCAAGTTGCAATTTATTTACAAAGAATGCCATTGGCATTAACTATTATCAATTAATTAAGATTCTTAATTATTAGCATTTCTTTATCTAATATATTTCCATCAATTCTAATTACTTAAGAAAAGGAGAAATCTTAGGACATTATTAATATTATACTTTATTGAAAGATAAATATTATAGTTATTTAAAGTTTATTAAACGTTTAGAATATTTAACGGAAAAAATGTTTAAAATATATATATAATATGTGAAATCTATAAAAATTAAATAATCATTTTAAAGAAAACTTTAAATTGATTTGAATTATAAATGTTTTAATAAAAGTATTATTCAAACAAAAAATAATGTTTAATTTTACCGAACAGGATTAGATGATATAGAACTTTTATTTAACCGACTGTTAGAACTTCTTCCTGTTTACTTATCGACATGCCTCAAATGGTCAAGTCAACAAAAATTCATCATTTAATCAACGTTTTCAAAGTTGGGATAAACAATCTATTTCTCCTCGTAAGTTTCACATAGCACCACAACCACATATAATTCCAGTGTCGTTCTATTTTCACATAGACCAACAATTCCAAACCGATTTCCCAAAATCCAAAAGATCTAAATATGGTTCCACATAGAAGTTGGATAACTCGATTTAGGACATAAACTCGATGCGAAACCAAGAAACCACTAGAGTAAACCAAATTAAAATCCGCAACCCGCAACATTCAACATAAAGATTTATAAGTTACTAACCATACAATATAAAGATTTAAATATAGAACTTTTATTTAACCGATTGTTAGAACTTCTTCATGTTTATTGGTGAGTTTGGGTGGGTTTCACCTCATTAAAAAAATGAAAAGAAAATAAATTTGGACAGAAAATGGGTTGGATCGTATCAGTCCATTGAGTTTTCTGGATCGGTTCAGTTCCACAGATGTCACCTTCTGAGTGGAGGAAAAAAAATTAATCGGGAAGAATGACTAGCTCTGATCAATCTCCGTCGCACAACGTCTTCGTCTACGGCAGTTTCCAAGAACCAGCCGTCGTAAGTTTGATTCTTGAATGTTCTCCGGTCATCGTCTCTGCTCAACTCCACGGCTAGTTAGTCGTCTCTCTTCACTTCTCCGATCTTATCTTCCTTCTGCTTAGATTTTTTCAAGATTGATAAAATCTGATTTCTGGGTTTTTTGCAGTCACTTGTATAGACTCAAAGGACGTTTGCATCCATGTATTTCTCCTTCTGAGAATGGAGTAATCAACGGCAAGGTTTTGATTCCATCTCCTTCTTTTACAAGAAAAATTAGGGGTTTGAATCAACAAATTGGGGTTTTCTTGTTTTAGTCATTTTAATTTCTGAAGCTGTAAACGTTGTTTCTTGATTTGGTTGATTCAACATGTGGATCACAAAACCTGAAGTTAAGGGGTTGATGTTTTGGTGTAGATACTAACTGGATTAACAAATGTACAAGTTAAGCAAAGTAGGACAAGCCATTGAGAACAATGATCTTTTTTATTTTAATTTCTAAAAATAAATTATAAATTTTTTTTTTCATTTTAGTGATACCCATTGAGTTTCACCATTAAACATACAAATTTAACAAAAAAAATTTAAGTATCATAGATTCAACAACTAATTAAATTAATACTAAAAAATTCTAATGATACTCAACTAATTAAACATGCCTCAAATGATCAAGTCAACAAAAATTCGTCATTTAATCAATGTTTTCAAAGTTGGGATAAACAATCTATTTTTTCTCGTAAGTTTCACATAGCACCACAACCACACATAATTCCAGTGTCAGTTCTATTTTCACATAGACCAACAATTCCAAACCTATTTCCAAAAATCCAAAAGATCTAAATATGGTTCCACATAGAAGTTGGATAACTTGATTTAGGACATAAACCCGATGCGAAACCAAGAAACCACTAGAGTAAACCAAATTAAAATCCGCAACCCGCAACATTCAGCTCGCAATTAAAACCCAATTCATACCCGTTACTCATAGAAACAATGTAAACATATAAATATAAAATAATTCGATATTTCAACTACGTCTTCTCATTTTTTGCTTCCGGTAAATTAATCGTTATTTTCGAACTAACGAATATAAGATTTGAAAATTCTAAGCTTAGAGGAAAACTACATGATACCAAAGGTATTGGGGATAATTCCCAGATTTTTTTGCTGTAGACTTTAGACTGTTGATTTTCTTGTTGTACCTATACAATTGTAGCTGTGAGTTTTAAAATAAAAGTTTGATTGGTAAATATTAGTTGTATGTTGTAACTTTACGTATTTATTATGTAAAATTAAATATTTTGGAAATAAATAAATATTAGAAATATATTATAACCAAAAAAAAGTCAGAAAGCAAAAGAATGAAAGAACAGTGGAGAGAAGAAAGAGAAAATATCTCACAGCTCATTTTTGGGTGCGGTAGAAAATTTGATTTACAAAGCCTATATATTTCTTTTTTTTTTTATTTTGTGTGCTGTAGCTTTTTTTTTTTAAGTAAAAGAATGATTGATTTGCTATTTGGCTTTAGAAAGAAAAATTGGCTTTCTACAACATCTAAAGCTCCTTCCAATCAGGCCCAATGTAGATAATACCAATAAAGATATAAATATTTACTCAGATGTTAACCAAAAGTTCGAATATTACTAGAATATCATACATTTTCTAAAAATTACTCATATGTTTTGAGCATTTGTGTAATTACAATTAACACCTTTCATTAGTTTTTTTTAATTAATAATTTTTAATTCGTTTTTAATTAAAAATAATAAATAAAAATTTGATTATCCATGTCATTAATCCACATCACCAATCTCACACTCCTCAAACTCACGTTATTTCTCCTCTTCTCTTTTTTTGTCTCCAAATCCAAGAAAAGCTTTTAGATCATTTCTCCTCTTCTCTTTTTTTTTGTCTCCAAATCCAAGAAAAGCTTTTAGATCTAATAATCTGCAACTAACTTGGGTACAACATTGACAGAGATCTTCAAATTGCAGGATTGGGCTGGATCTTCCTAGACCTCACAGCCACAACGCTTGCCATAGGGTCCCAAATCAAAAGCTTCGTCAGATCTACTCGCAACCACGCTCACGAAAAAAGTCATCAAAAATCAAAACCCAAAACAAAGAGATCTATGAAATTCTACATGATTCGTTACAGGTTTGAGTTGAAATCAAGAATAGCTACTCTTTTACTTTGATTTTACAAGTCTCTCGTTTAATCTTCCTCTCAATCGATCTATTTGGAGACATTTGAAAATAAAGATAATGTAGATTTGAAAATTCTAAGCTTAGAGGAAAACTACCTGATACCAAAGGTATTACGGATAATTCCCAGATTTTCTGAGAATGTGAGCACTCAAATAGAGCATGATTTTTTTTTTTTTTTTTTTTGTTGAAATGTTAAATTTATTTATCAACAAAAAGAAAAAATATGTACAAAGAGTTCGGTATGGCTTGGTTTGATTTGGAGCTTGTTATGGGACCATATCAAACCTTACAAAGAAATTAGAAAAATAGAGGCTAAACAAATGCAGTTTACACGATGGAGCTGCAAAGAGAGGACCAGCGGGCCAAGAGAGGGGCGTTCTTGTGCTACGAGTCGTAGTTGAGGCTTTGGATGCGTAGAGCGATGTCGGAGGCGATCTGCTTCGTCAGATTCCGGTAGCGTTGTTGGCTAGAATTGTGAATTCTACCATTGCGTTCCCTCCACACAAAATAAATAGTTGTTTGGAAGACCATACGGACGAGGATAATGTCGATTCTTGGAGACTGCTTTGCTAGAATCGCACGAACTGTGTCATGCCAATCTGGAGTAGTATGACGCCACAAGAGAGGAGTGCATAGAGTAGACCAAATTGCAAACACATAAGGACAAGCAAAGAAAATATGATCCCTTGTCTCATCGCGCTCACCACAAAGCGGGCAGAATTGTATGTGGCCCCAACGACACATTCTTTGGCCAGTTGATAGACGATCCTTGACAGCAAGCTAAGTGATGAATGAGTACCTTGGAACCCCTTGAGGAAACCAAACCAAGGTAGACCAGGATACCTTTGTGGAAGTGTCCCTGATGAGATTCCATGTATACTTAGACGAGAAGGAGGATTGATACTCCCCTGTTTTGTGCATCCACTTAACAATATCTTGACCCGCATGAGGCGAAGGAGGAGTGATTGGGCTGAGAAGCTCAATAACAGTTTGGTATAGCTGTCCACTGTTGGTGTCGGATCCCGCACCAGAAGTCCGAGACCAACCAAAGATTGCCACGTAGTCAAGATAATGGCCCATAAAGGATAAACCCCATTGGACCCGCGAGCCGAAGGAACGGACGAGGTGGTTATCACCACTTCGAGAATCCGAAGTGACTGCGCTTCGACGTGAGTTCGGTGTAGAAGACACGGGTAAGTCGGTTCAAGGACACTTGGGCCAAAAGGCGAGGCCCATGAAGATCAGAGTTAACTCAAATTCAAACGTTGAGCATTAAAGTCAAAGATCAAAACGGACACATTTAAGAGGGAATAATTGTACTTAATTATTCATTTTAATGTCGTTTCTCTATGTATAAATATAAAGGCCAATGGCCATGTAAAGGGGATCTCTCTCTTGAGCAAGAAATACTATAGCAATTTTTGTAGCAATTCATAAGCCTTTTACGTTCTTATTTTTTGTCCCTCAAGAATAATCTTTCCTACTAATAAAAATACTTGAGTGTGTGAATCCGACATCCACATTTTGGCGCCGTCTGTGGGGAAAGAGGATTTTTGAGTGGTCAGATTTTTCTTTACTACATTCCCGAGATAAGCAGCAATGTCCGGAGGAGACGCCGTTGAGACATCATTGGCCGAAACCCTCAAAGCTATGCAGCAAACCATGTCGGACATATCACAAAAGTTCTCGGATGTGGAAAAGGTTGTCGATACGTTGCAAACATCCCAGGTATCTCTTAGTCAAAACGTCAATACTATACAAACTCGTGTTCGCTCTTTAAGTGCAGGAAATCCTGTGGGAATCTGAAGGAGGATACTCAACTCGCCAAGTTCCATTGCGCGAAATGAAACCAGCAGACAAACAACTCCTGGTACTACTAATAATGTAGTTCAGCCATTGGATGGAGAGGCACAGCTCGAAGATGAAGCTCAACTTGCAGATCAATACGAGCAGGAAAACCTCGACCAGTTCGAGACTATGAGGAAGGTTAGCCAAGAACTAAAAGAAATGAAGTCAAAGTTCCATCAGGCTACAAGTTCGGAGCCGGATATCAATCGAGTCATTGAAGAAGCTAGGCGAACACCTTTCATCTCGCGAATTGCGAGTTTGAGAATCAAAGATTCCCGGAAGCTCAAGTTGGACCCTTACATCGGATTGGAGGATCCAAAGAGCTATCTCGAAGCTTTTCTGATCGCTGCTGGAAGAGTCGAATTGGATGAAGCTGATGAAGATGCAGGTTACTGCAAGCTTTTTTTGGAAAATCTATGCGGCCAAGCTTTAATGTGGTTCACCCAATTAGAGCCGGGTTCGATTAGCAATTTCGACGAGCTATCAGCTGTATTCTTAAAGCAATATTCCATCCTTATGGATAAAAGCGTTTCGGATGCCGATCTTTGGAACTTATCACAAGGATCAAATGAATCACTTCGAGTTTTCATCACCAAGTTCAAAGGAGTGCTGTCAAAGCTCCCAAGAATCTCACAACAATCAGCTTTATCTGCCTTACGAAAAGGATTGCGACATGATTCAAGATTTAAAGAAGATTTAATACTTCATAAACCAGACACAATTCAGGATGCACTCTTCCGCGCAAACAACTGGATGGAGGTAGAGGACGAAAAAGAAAATTTTGCCAAAAGAAATAAGCAAGAGAAGCCGGCAATCACCGTCCCTACCAAGAAATTCGAACCCAGGGAAAACAAAGGACCAAAGAAATTTGGGTCGCAACCCTTCAACAGTACCGTCGGAAAGCAATTCCAAGGGAAAGGAAGATCAAACACTTGGGTCCATGATGAAAGTTTATATTGCGACATTCATAAAGTAACCGGACATTTAACCAAGGATTGTAGCGTTCTTAAAAGGCACCTCGCAGAGCTTTGGGCCAGTGGAGATCTTTCCAAATTCGATATAAAAGATTTTGTGAAGGAATACCACGAAGCAAAGGAAAATTCCAAAGATCAAAATTCCAAAAGACCAAGATTAACCAAGGAGGAAGAACCAAGAAATTCTAAGGGTAAGATCAATGTTATTCTAGGAGGTTCCAAATTTTGTCGAGATTCGATAAGTTCCATCAAGAAACATAGACGAAATGTCCTACTCAAAGCAAGCTTGAGTGAAGAAGTCGATTTTCAAGGTGCATCAATATCATATAATGAAGAAGAAACGCGGCACCTCGAAAGACCTCATGATGATGCCCTAGTCATTACCCTAGACGTTGCCAACTTTGAAGTATCAAGGATCCTTATAGATACAGGCATTTCGGTCGACCTG